GGAGAGAATGTTTGTCTGGATGTTTTGTCTTCTGTATGTAAACACGCACTGAACAGAACCTTCTGGTTCTGGAAGTCCAAATAGAAAGTGGGTTTATGTTTTAGATGAAATGTCACTATGTTGGTCATTGTAGATGGTGAAAAATTGACCCTTTGGCACGTTACAATAGTAATGTGTTTACCAACATTGGTTATGTATATTACTGATTGCAAAAACACCCCTAGGTATTTTGACTTGTCTTTTTACTGAATATTTTTCTTTTATATATTTCTGCTTGGTTCACTGCAGTTTCAAGGAAGAGAGAAGAGTCGGATGAGAAACCTCTGCTCTTACATTTCCACAACCATCAAATGAAAGACGGGGGTGTCCCAACCAGCAGCTTGACTGGGCAGATGACAGCAAAAGATGGTGGAGGAGCAGAAACTATCAAGAACCTAGATCTGGACCCTAATGAAAAGACATCCGATTCTTCAGAGATTGAAGTTGGTGGAGAAGATGAAGATGATGTGAATCTAGACTCTGAGCTTTCAGACTCTGGGCCTGAAACTGGAAACAGAGACCATGGCTGTAATGAGAACAAGTCTTCAGAGTCAGATATTAAGACAGTCAACAAATCATTTAGCTGCCCTGTGTGTGGTATACGGTTCCAACACCAGTGGTCTCTTCAGGAACATGTGAGAGTGATGTCATTCAGCAGTGAAGTCTTCAGAGTGTTTGGTTAATACAAAATGTGTGAAAGAGAAGCAACATGGAGGCTCATGTAGAAAAGTCCAGAAAGAACCAAAATCATTTAGTTGTGAGCTCTGTGGACAAAGATTTAGCCGTAAACATAGTTTAAACACACACATGAGAGTCCACACAGGAGAGAATACTTTTGCCTACGAGGTCTGTGGAAAAAGATTTAGCCAAAAGACAAATTCAAAGAGACATACGAGCACCCACACAAGACTAGAGGGATTTATTTAACAACAGTACTTCCAAAAGTACAAAATGTTCTCTGCAGACCTGTTAGAGTGTCCTCCATCATTCAGTTGTTATGATTGTGTTCTGTTCTGGGTAAAGCAGCAGTTACACGATGGTGTAGTTTTTTCAGTCTTTAATTTTAGCAATTTTTATTTTCTGAGCACGAGACGTCATTGTTTCACTAAGATTAACGTACAGTTTGTAACAGCAATGATCTTTATGCTTCATTTTTTGTTTATTTGGTGTTGAGGGCATTTGTTTTGATGGCCAGAGGATAGGATCTCTGCTTTTTGCAGATGATGTGGTCATGTTGGCTTCATCAGAACGAGATCTTCAGCTTTTGCTGGAACGGTTCACAGCCGAGTGTGAAGCAGCTGGGATGAGAATCAGCTCCTCTAAATCTGAAGCCATGGTCTTAAATCAGAAAAGGGTAGAATGCCTTCTCCAGGTCACGGACGAGGTCCTGCCTCAAGTGAAGGAGTTCAAGTATCTCAAGGTTTTGTTCACGGGTGAGGGAATGTTACAGCTCCCTATATTTGGGCTGATGAGTTTATCTCCCTCTGTTCATCCTGTGAGGTGAACCCCATGATCCAGCTAAATTACCCCACCAGAGGGAGCCATTATCTGGAACCCTTTGGCCTGCTGCTGCTCCCCACAGGGCAGCTGGTGCACATCATCTGATTAAGAGGTCTGCACAAACAGTTGAAAAGCCAGACTAAGAGGAGCTGGAGAGACTAGCGTTGGAGGGAGGTTTTTGAAGCTGAGTAAAGAAGGAGCTGGCATATAGAGGAATCGGTTGCGGCTGAACTGCTGAGCTGGAGAGCTGTGAATGAGACCAGACTGAGAGGACGCTGAGAGGTGCCGAGAGGGAAAAGCTGCTGCTTTTGTGGTTGGAACGAGAGTTTCCAAGGATCCCTGTGCTGACATCCAGAGCATTCTCTAAGTGGTTGGTTTCTACACCCTTTTGGCTGGGATCAGAGATAGTGATGAGTACCACTAAGTTTATTTTACCAAGAAGTTGATTAATAGACTGTCATAACTCTGTATCCAGCTTGTGCGGTCACAAGGTCTCAATCACGAAAGGTATCAGACATTCAGCTAGATGATACTTTGATATGTCTCGATGACCTGAGTGATCCTCCTAAGATCATGCCTGTTGTAGGAGACTGTGGTGAGTTCCCTCTCACAGAAAAACTCTAATAAAGGCTCAGAAAGCTGGTGCTTCTTTGCAACTCTGTTTTAATCTAGTGGTTTTATCTGACACTCGTGATGTTTCCTCAGTTCATTATAAAGTAGAAAATAATGTCCTGATTCGCTTTTGGCCCCAGCCAAACACTGGTGGTGCTGAGTGGGGACTTGTAAAACAAATAGTCTTCCCCTCGTCAGCTACAAAGGCTTTTATCTCTATGGCCCATGAGAGTGACTAGTTGGGACATCTAGGAGTAGGAAAAATATAACCTCTTGTTACAACACTACTTTTGGCCTGCTATGAAAAAGGATGTGTCACTTTTCTGTAAGCAGTGCCATGTTTGCCAAATGAGTGGAAAACCAAATCAGGTTACCGTCATTTCCGGGTCTATAGAGCGCACCTCATTATAAGCTGCACCGGGCTAAAAGCCACAGATATCTACTGAATTGAAAACGTAGTTTAACTGAACGTAACTGAACTGATCAGTATCAAACAAAACAGAAAAGTTATTGATTAGTTTATTCATCGTTCTCCTGCGCATCATCCCGGGTTGAAGCTGGGGAAAAAAGCAGCGCCGTTTTACTGTGGAAAAAAATCCTCCTGGGCGCTTTCCGTAGCACTCCTTTAACCATTCCTTCATTAGACTTTCTAGGATCCATCCTTTCTGGTTGACTAAAGCCGCACCTCATTATAAGCTGCATGGTTCAAAGCGTGGGATAAAAGTAGCGGCTTATAGTCCGGAAAATACGGTAAACACCCAGCTCCACTGAAACCCATTCCAGTAATGGGTATGCCTTTTGACTGTGTAATATTAGATTGTGTTGGACCCTTTCTGCGATCCAGAACTGGAAAAAGACTCCTGTTAACTCTGATGTGTTCAGCCACCAGGATTCTCATTGTTCGGGTTACCCAAGGTGATACAGACTGATCAGGATACTAATTTTAAATCACGGTTGTCTAAACAAGTTACCCAGAACCTAGGCATCAAACATGTTACTTCATCTACTTACCATCCGCAGAGTCAAGGCGCCTGACCCCGGGTTTCCACAGGAGCCGTCAGCAGCACGTTACTGCAGCAGCACGTCTTGCTCGTGTAAGCTGCTGCTCTGCCCTTCCCAGGAGACGCGAAGCAGCAGGGGAGCAGCTGTCACCGACCGAGCACGAAGTCAGTAAACACAACAACAAGCAGGAGAAAACTACAACATGGTTTGTGTTTTATGTTCTGTCCGTTTTATAATCGCCAATACGGACCTGAAAAACAAAGGAGACCGCTAGCTAGGTGATAACTTCTCACGGGGCCGCACAGTTAGTAACCTTTTTTAAAAGTAAAGCAACCGGAAGGCAGTACGTTCTTTATTCTGAAAATCTCGGGAGCTTCTCTCCATTTCCGCGTCCGATTTCCTGTCTTTCCTTCCCCAAAAATGTAGAACTTGACCCGTTTCAGAGGCATCGCGCGTAGAAAATAGAACCGGCGCGTAAAGGCCGCGACATGCTGCTCCTGAGACGCGGCCGACTCGCGCTGCTGACAGCTCCGGTGGAAAAGGTTCTGTTGACCACAGCGGTTCCTATCAGCAGCTATGACGTGCTGCTGCAGTAACGTGCTGCTGACGGCTCCGGTGGAAAGCCGGGGTCAGAGAGATGGCATCAGACCCTTAAAGAGCAAGTAACGTCTAAATTAACCTTTTTTTTGCTGATGAACTGTATAAATGAGTGTCTAATAGTGTTTTAAATGTGTGTGTATTCATTATTTTAGCATTTTGGTGCATTTTCTTTAAAATTTAAAAATTCTGCCTAAATACCACAGTATAGCGCCACCTTCAGCTTAAAACATAGAGTTTGAGTCATTTTTAATACACTTTAGCCAATGGCTAAAGAGTAAGATACTACGTAAACCAGTAGAGTACTACGTAGCAGCTCTGTGTCAAAGTTATAAAGCATCGAGAGTCTCGGCCACGCCTTGTGGCAAGTTGGAAGTTGGATTTGCAAGCGAGTGTAGGACAGTTAGCGGTAATTCAGCATTAGCATATAGCATTAGCATATCCTAGTCTTTAGCATAGCTTTTAGTGTTATAAATACTTCTTTAGTGTTAGCTTGGCTGTTGGATATTGTAGTTTAGTTAGTGTTTAGCTGTTAGTGTTATTAGGAAAGTAGTTCAGGTTTAGTGCTCCATATCGTGTTAGTATGGTGAGAAGGTGTAGTGTAGTATGGTTGCGGTGGCTCTGTGGGGTTGCACTCCTTTCCGCTGGACTTAGAAATTAGGCGCCAGTGGTTGTGCGCAATCGGTGTCTGGAAAACAGTCAGCTCCCACCTGGTGCTGTAGTCTGCAACCAGCATTTTACCCGCGATTCTGCACGTCTCCGTTTGAAGAGGGAGGCTGTGCCCACCGTGGCTCTTCCGCAATTTAGATGCAGCCCACCGACTCTGCTCCCCCACCATGGCGGGCTCCAGTCTGAGGTGAGTAAGCTAAATAAGTTTTAACATCTTCTAAAGACAATTCCCTACCTAAATGCAAAGTTTGAGGGACGTAGTTCACTTCATTTATATCAGTCTGCACTGCCTTCGGGCTAATTTGTCAAGTTCACAAAATGTGGAATGGGATGTAAGGTTAGAATCAGCGGCGAATCGGAACATGTCTCGAAGCCCTGGCCGACAAAACGGTCCACATGACTATTACTGTCAGGCTCGGCGAAAATTCGGGTTGTTTTTGTGTCAGTCGGTAATTCTGCATCAGTGGCTCTAACTAACGCAGCACTAGCTGACAGACAGCATTACAGCGTGAAATCCAGCTTGTGACCCGGTTCCATGAGGAATTCTGTTCAGGAGGTCGCATTTCAGGATTCCACATCATATGTGACTGACTTTTACGTTATAATGACGATCACACACTAGGAATGTTATAAAGCGCCTATATAGGACAGTTTCTTTTGTATATTATCTGACTTTATAAACAACAATGTGCTTCTATTTTTTTTCAGGCTAAATCTACCCAAGACACTGGCTGTCAGACTGATTTAGTAGTCTGCAAGAATGCACTTGTCCAGGCTGACGTGAAAAGCCTTACCCGTAGCAAAGGTGAATTATTTTTAATAATCTTCTATATAAACATTTTATTATCACCTTCTAGTTTTAATTTGTTTTACAGATTATTGTTACATGATTTTATGCTCTTTTAAACATTTATAAATGTGCTGCTTAATTGTTTTTTACATAGCCACCCAGTTTAGAGCTCCCAGCCTCAGTGTGTCTTGTGACACAGGGACCATGACGGAAATTCATCTTCCAGAAAGTCCCAGAGCAGCGTCCACACCCCCTGAAAAGACCAAGATGTGAGGTGTCTGCTGTTGATTCCAGCTTCCACCTCAGTGACAGTGCAAGCTCAGTGAACTGTTCAAGGTAAAAAATATTAAAACATTTCAGAATTTTTAAGATATTAACAGTTAAATAAGTATGTGATTACATCATGAAGGAGGCTACTGATTCTGCCCCTGTGACACTTGGTGGTGACGTGTGAGCTGATTCACCTGGTAAATAACTTTTACATATAATATTTTGTTCTTTGCTATCAAAAGTAAATTAACTAATAACCTGCATTATTGCAGGACACTCAGCAAAATATGGACTCTACACCATGAGGCAGGCACACGTTAATACTCTAAGAGCACATAAGGTGAGCGACACCACAGATTATTATTATTACTGTACACTGTCCTGGATTTGTTTTCTTTCTGCATCTCATCATTAGCCTGGCTGATCACCTGATAACTAATGTCATCTGGTTATGACAGCATGAGGATGTCCTCACACACCTGTAACCTATCAGCTCATCTGGCAGAATAGAGAGAGAAGAGACAACACCACATCTCCTGTTCCTGGAAAGCTTTCAGCCATCCTTCGTTGACTGAGAACCTCCATCAGCTCTGTCTCCTGTCTGCCTACAATTATTATAATAAATATTGTATTTGACAAGTTTTTTGTGCTGCCAAATATCTCATTTTGATTCCAGTTTTTATATTTTAATCAAGGATATTTATAAATTACATTGGTGCATGTTTAACTAGCTCTATTGTGATGAATTAAACTAGCACCTCACTGTTAAAAGCTCGTTTTAATTTCAAGCATGTTTAAGTATTTATGGACATGAACAAAAACAGGAAATATATAAATTGAGATTTATTTAATTACTATAACAAATAAGGGGGAAAGAGTCATTGAAAGGCACATTCTTCTGGAAGCTCCTGATCCTGACGACACCAGCAGCGACCAGCTGCAGACACCAGAGGATCACCTACAACCAAGAGAGCAGCTGGTATCAGTAAATAATGAAATCAGGGCCGTTTTAGTGGGCTGAACACATTACAGAATAATTTTCTCATGGGGTATTTTCATAAATTTATGCAGCAGACTGTAACTTGAGCCCAGGGCTCCTGGAGAGCTGCTATCCAGCACGTTTCAGTGGATTTTCCTGCTTTAACAGGTTAGATTAGCTGTTAAGCAGCTCAGCTATTTGTTGCTGATTAAAACCAGGTGTGTTGAAGCAGATAAATCTCTAAAACATGCTGAATACTAGCTCTCTAGGGCCGTGGAGCAAACCCTGCAGCTAATCTAATGCTATGGCTAACGACTACTTACCATTCAGAGCTGGTTCTGATGGGTCGGTTCTGCTAGTTTCAGGCAACTCACAAGCTCAAAACAATAAGGCTCAGGTCCGCTTGTCTCCTCCAAATAGACTTGGTCCCTTTCTTCTCGAGTGTCTGGGTAAGGAGGGGGAGAAACGTCCTCCACTTCTAATGACTGCTCAGAGTGAAGGGAGCTAGCATCGTCTCGTTACCCATTGTCTTCGTCACTGCCACGGCTCCGCCCTCTCGGTCCTCCAGGCAACGCCTACTAATGTTGCAGTTTTTAAAATTGATACGTGGGTGGAGTAAGACTCTGAGGGGGGTATTGCCATTTCTTTAAGGCCATGTTGACCAAACAGTTTGCAGTCACCCAAATCGTGGGGAGACGATTGCCTTTTGTTTTGTTTGCAGCCCGTGAAGCTGAACAAGCGTCCCTAGGTTTCAGTCCCGCTCAGCTTGTATTTGGACACAACCCTCGGGGACCCCTGAAGGTTCTTTCTTAATGAGAGACTTTTGAGTCCCTCGATTCCTAACAGAAAGGTTCCGGACTATCAGAGGTGGAAAGAGTACTAAAATTTCCTACTTCAGTATGAGTACCAGCACTTTGATCATTTTTTACTCAAGTAAAAAGTATCATAAATAAAATGTACTCAAAGTAAAGGTTACTTAGTTGCATTTTTGTCAGCGTAAAGATGGTTACATATGTGCTAAACCACAACACCAGTTCAAAACACGCTCGTGTGTGCACGCACACATGTGGACACACAGTTTGATGGGAGGATTTCTATCCAATCAATGAGAACAGGATGTGCACATTGATTGGACGAGGTTTTTCTAGGATTGTACATTTCAATTGTGATTAAAATTATTCTTTATTTTGGAAAATAAAAAAGTTAATTATTAGATGCCATCAGTATGTGAGGTATCTCAATGTTCTCATGACAAAACTCTAACATGAGACTGTTAACTGTTAGCCCTGCCCTACTTTACCCCTACATTACAGTTCCTTTATCCATGTCCATCCTAGAGCTCCTCTCTGACCTTCATGCTTATTTAGAGCAGCTGATTTTGAAAGTTAGCAGAGTTCATCCTTGGTAGTGGGTTCACTCACTCATTTAAAGATATCGGCCAGAGGCAAAATTCGTTTGAACAGCATGTGTAAATGTGTATTAAAACCATCAACATATACATATATGGACATTGGGTTTCCATAGACTCCAATAACACATTTTTGAAGAGAAATGGGAGGTGGCCACCACCGCCATTTTGACCGTGTCACAGGTTCCGTCAAGCCCAGACAATTCCACAAAAGGGAAGAGGTGGGGCTATAAGGCTGGGATCAACTGACGACACCTGGTCGAACTACCTACAAGCTAAACTGAAGCTAACCCAAAGCTAACGCGGAGGTGGGAGCTAAGCTAACGGAGATAGCAACCTAGCTACAACCGGAGTTAACTATGCACAACACCAGAGCTTCTGAGTCAGAGATACGCCGGGCTGACCGCTGGGTAAAACCGGGTGGAACACAGAGGTCTCCCGAGAGCTACACAAGTGCTGCTGTGATCTGAGATGCGCAGAGCTGCCGCTGGGGAGAACCGGGTGGAAAGGTTTCCATCCCAGAGAAAAGTCGTCAGCTTGTCCAAAAAGCTGCAGCTGGAGTTCTGATGAGAATTAAAAAGAGAGATCATATCTCTCCTGTCTTAGGTTCCCTACATTGGTTGCCTATTAGGGCTGAACGATATTAGGAAAACCTGCGATATGCTAGCCTAGTGAACTAGACCAAATTCTTGCTTTGCAAACGCGATGTGTGTTAACGATTAAAATGTCAGCTCATCCATGCGCATCAGTGTGCGTCGGGGTAATTCTTTCAAAACAACCAACATCCTTGAGTTTATCTGTCAAAATAAACAGTCAAATGGAAATATCTGTAACCTGCCATTTAACGGTTTTGCCTTCTTGTGAAGATTGTTGCAAAGAGAAACAATTAAACTTGATTAACCCTAGAGCCATGCGCACTATGTACTCCGTGACTGTAAATGAGGGGGAAATGATTTAATCGGATCCTTTTCTTTTCAACATGGTTTAATGTAAACTTTCATTCAGTACAAACTTTAGTTACACCAATCTAACGAGACAGAGCCTGGATTTGTATTCTGAACAGTTTAAACATGTTTAAAACGGAGACATGCGTGACACGTCTAAAATTTGCACCTGCTCCGCTATTATGGAAATTAAACTAACAAGATGAATAATATGAAATTATTTTAGGCACAGACAACTTCCCCCACACTTTTGAAAAGCTTGCAACGCGCCTGGTCGCTCGTGTACGTCAAAGTTATCTTTCATAAGATGATAATCAATAAAACGATTTATATAAAATGGACCCAGAAGTTGTAGCCAGTCTCTGCCTTCAATTTTTGGTATTTTTCACCCTGTTGATGGTTTTACTGAGCAGGTGCCCCTTTTGTCATATACGTTTCTTTTTAAAACGCTGCGAGCACAAGCGTGACCCGTCAACCCGGTCTCACAGTAAGACCGGGTTGGAACTGTTCAGGTTCACGCAGACAATCTTTACATTTAGAATTAGCTTACAGATGTAAAATTAATGCAGTAAAATATAAAGCTTTTTATTTAAATATCCATTCATTATTTTACAAGCACAGAGAGCCGCATCAGATGGATGGAAGAGCCACATGCGGCTCCAGAGCCGCGGGGTGCCGACCCCTGTGCTAGCCTACTTTATTGTCCCCAGCAATTTTTAAACCCCACTCAAGTGTATGGTTATTGTCCCCAGCAATTCTGACAACAAACTGACGCCCTTGGCAGTGAGCCAATATTCTCCCAAACTGAACGGGGCAGCATGGAACTCTACAACATGCATCCAACACTACACCATAGTAGATGTAAAAATTACTGTTGTTTACAACATGGCATTCCAGCATTTTTACCAGCGTCCTCGTCTTTTCCGACAGTGCAAGCTATTTCTCTCCAAGAATTATTAACAACATGTTGATCACGGTGATCTCTGAGAGCTGAATCATACAAATGTCTGTATTAACGAACCTCTGCCATACTAGTTCTTGCCAGGCCGCCATGTTTCTGCGCGTCCGACCGTCCGCTTGGTTAGAAAATTTCCTAGGTGCGCGGTGCGGAAATTTTGGGCCGTGCGGAGGCGCGGTGGAGGGATGTGGTTGTTAAAATGACGCAATTTCGCTGTGCGGAGCCGTGCGGACCTTGCGGACGCATCAAGCATAAACCAACCTATTAGGGTTGTCACGATACTAAAATTTCAAACTAGATTCGATACTGGAAAAAAACTCGATACTATTTAAAACACCAATTTATTGAACAAGTTTATTCAAAAAATAACATTCCTCAATTTATATTGCAAAAATTAAATGTTAAGAATTAAGTGTGTAAAGTGCTTAAACCTTTCAAGTATCAGCATTTTTTAAAGCGTGCATACAAAAACTGGCGAAAGTTAACACTTTAAATCATGAATTGTCTCACTATATATACACCATTTGCAGAGTGATGTTTTGCTGCTTAAACTCTGTTTAAGGTGCATTTTTGTCATAAGATGTAATGCCATATATTTTGTTTTGTACTTTTGAACAACTCTGTTGGTCAATAAAGGGAGAAAACGAATTTCTCCACAGTAGGACAAAGGTACATATACCGGTAATCTTAAAAAAAAAAACAGATTGGCACACGTCAGTGACGTCATTAAAAGCGCAGGTTAGATTAGCCGTGGCTAGTTTGTTCATGCCTAGAAATCCCTGACTCGCTCCAAATAAACAGGGGAATCACGTTAATGATTCCTAACAAAACCTTTTGACATTGAGATGTTTTGGTGCAGTTAATGTCTTATTTCGAGGCTGCACCATGGGTGCCCTTCCGCACCCGTTATATGGATATACACTGATGGCGATTTGCCGATGGATCTAAATACCCCGGGGAATCCAAGTTGCACCAAAGTTGTCAGCGTGAAGTAAACAAACGTACTGCATGCTAGAAATTAAGTCCGGGTTGCAATAAATGGGAGTTTTCCTTTTAGCACATAAGCGTGAATATATAACTACGTGTCGGACTTGGTATGCTAATTAAGTTGGGCTGTGAAGCGCCTCCCAAATTCGCTGTTTGTTTTTGTTTATTTATTTGGCAGACAAAACTTGGATCGGAGACAACTCGCGTGGGAAATTGCAATGTCGCCATGCGGCGTCTTCTTCTTCTGTTTGTCTGGGAGGCGGAGGCTGCTTTACGGCATCTGGCTGTCGTGCGTGTCGGTGTACTTGAAGAAAGCTGTGTATAATAGGCCATAATATCGATATCACAGGGATGGAATATCTAATTTAGATACCTAGATATAAATCGATGCTAAAAGTGGTATCGATTTTTTTTGACAACACTACAACCTATAGGCTTAGACTGCTGGAGGACATAGTGACCACTTTCCACACTTTAGTACTTCTATAGTTTCTCTCTGAATTGCATTATTTTCTGCAATTTAACAGTTAACTTTTTTCTCAGTTTTTCCCCCCAGAAGAAGCTACAACGGTGTTCTGCTGAGCTGTGGTAGCCTCATGGTAGGGTCCATCGACTTGAACGCTGCTGCTAACCACTTAAACATTCTCCCTCTCCTGATAACATTTTACTTTCTTTGACATTGAATGTGCTACTACTAGTTTACCCATTTAATTAATTATAGATTCACTAAGATAAAGACAAAATAAAGTTTATTTCTTAGTTAATAGAATATCTACTAAGAAATCACAATATAGCCATAAAAACCCTACTTGGAAGTGATTGAGGCAGGACTAGCTTATAACTCTCCCTTATTACATCCGAGGTTAATTTTTTGTTTTAAAAACAAAAAAGGGGCGACGGTGGCACAGGAGTTAAGTGCTCGCCCCGTAATCGGAAGGTTGCAGGTTCGAGCCCCGCTCAGTCTGTCGTTGGGTCCTTGGGCAAGACACTTAACCCACGTTGCCTGCTGGTGGTCGGAGGGACCGGTGGCGCCAGTGTTCGGCAGCCTCGCCTCTGTCAGTGCGCCCCAGGGCAGCTGTGGCTACGTCGTAGCTCATCCCCACCAGTGTGTGAATGTGTGTGTGAATGGGTGAATGACTGATTGTGTTGTAAAGCGCCTTGGGGGGTTCCAGGACTCTAGAAGGCGCTACATCAAATACAGGCCATTTACCATAAAAAGGTGTTTTTTGAAGCTTTGCTGATATAGGCTACTTTTTACTTTTAAAAAAGTGCCATTATGTATTGTAAAACAAAATTCCCACAATAAGTGTTTCAAATAGTATTTTGTGAACAGTGTTTTATATGAAAAAATAAAAAATAAATAAATCTGCAGTTTGCTCTTTAACTGTATGAATTCTCATGTTTTGAGTCAGGTTACTTTGGTGAGGAAAACATTTAACAAACACATTTTAAGAATCAAGAGTGAAATTTTACATGAGAATATTTGTCTGAACCTCACTCTACAGATCAAACCTGGGAAAAAAAAAGACTTCTCACCTGTGGTGAATTTTCATGTGACAAGTCAAATGAGAACGCCTAGAGAAACATTTACCACAAGTTTTACAAGGATACGGTTTCTCACCTGTGTGAGTTTTCATGTGACTAGTCAAATGAGAACCCATTGAGAAACATTTACCACAAGTTTTACATGGATACGGTTTCTCACCTGTGTGAGTTCTCATATGAGTAGTCAAGTTATCACTCCTAGAGAAACATTTACCACAAGTTTTACAAGGATACGGTTTCTCACCTGTGTGAGTTCTCATGTGACAAGTTAAAGACTTGTAAATGAAAGATTTACCACAGAGTTTACATGAAAACCGTCTCTTATCACTATGAGCCCTCTTGTGTCTTTTTAGTTTCTGACTGTCTACATTGTCTCTGTGATCTTTGGTTTGTGGACGTCTTTTATTCCATGTCAGTTCTTTGTTGCTGGTTGGTTCTGAGTTTTCATTCCTGCTTCCATCCTGATCTTGGTTCTCAGCTTCAGTAGAACTCTGACACAAAGATTGGTTCCTGCTTTGTTCTGCTTCAAAGTTTTCTATTTCTTCATGAGTAGTAGTAACAATGAAGGAAACATTTTCCTGCTTCAGAATGAACTGCCCTTCATTCTGATGGAAACAAAGTTCTTGCTGTTCATCTTTGATCAGTGGAGGTTCTGGTTCCTTTTGGTCCAAATTGGAGGTGGTCTCCAGGTTAGAAAGCTGCTGGTCAGTCAGAACCTCCTCCTTTTCCCAGACATTATGCTGTGGAAGTTCTGGACAGGATGAAAGACAAAGCAAAAGTTTATTAACGCAACAATTAGAGCCAACAATCAACAAATTGTTTAAATTTTCATTATTCCCATGAGTTTCTTAGTTAACTCACGATTAACCGCAAATTCATTACAAATCATAAATGTACTGCGGTGTGACATTTTTCATGTGTTGAGTTTTTAGACAGTTCGTAGTGAGCAACCAACAGACTTTAAAAACAATAAAAAATGAACTAATGTGTGATATAATAATTATTTAAAGAGTTAACTTTGACAGTTCTAGTAACAATTACAAACACAGGAGGAGAAAAATGTGTGGAGATGGGGAGGAATGGCTGGTTGGCCTAAGCCCTCCAGGGAGCCAGCTCCCCCCACTGGCCCAAAAGGCATCTCCGTTGCCAAAATGCCACTCAGGGCATGGAGACCCCAGCCCATCTTGCAAAGGCCCAAAGCAGCAGTATTGCAGAGCTCCACAGAGTCCAAGAGAACCAACGCAGCCCCACCCCAGCAGAATATCTACACCCATCCCTGCATTTGCACAGCTTCCAGAATATATAAGACATAGGACATCCAGGTAAGGTTGGGTCCTCTCCCTCCTTGACATCCCCCATGATGGACAGCAGAAGAGCCTAGGTCTACCCGAGGCCCCTGAGCCCGGGCCAGGCACTGCCGTATGTTCCCGCCTTCTTCCCAGCAGCATACATGTCAGGACCCGACCCCAAGGCCCCGCCCAGATCCCCACACGGGGCCGGCCAACCCCACACCCCGAGACCCCAGGCCCCCACCCAGACCTACGCAGGGGTATTGAAGCCGCCAGGCAGCAACCCATGGCCATCACCAAGACCCCCAAGGGGCCACACTCCCAACCGCCAGTAGTCCACCTCCCGAGGCAACCCAAGCACCTCCAGAGGGGGACAGCAGCCCCCCAGCCCCAGGCGCCCCCAGTGCACCCGCCCTCAGGGAACGTCCGGACATTCCAAACTCGGACCATCCACCCCATCACCCACATCACCCCGCAGGACAATATCAATGACCCCCATCATCGCTATGTGATAGAACCGATCAAAGGAGCCCAAAGAGATTGACATGAAGAGGAAGCAGAGGCTGTATCAAGTGCAATACGATTTAACAAAAGATTTCTATACTGGTTAATGCAAAGAGTAGCTCTATTTTTCCAATTCATGAGGATAGTTTTCTTAGCGATGCATATGGCAGTCAGAACCACGTGAATCAAAGATGTTTCAATTGGGACATCGTCCAGGTTTCCCAGCAAACAAAGAGGGGGGAAGTTGGGATATGACATTTCAGACATGTCTTCACACACTCTACCCCAGAATTCCTGGACAAGTGGACAGGACCACAGTGCGTGGATGTAATATTCAGGAATGTTGTTTGTTTAGTGTGTACAGGTGTCAGACAACACAAACCCCATCCTGAACATCCGATGACCTGTACAGTGTACTCTGTGTAGGATTTTGTACCGAATTAATTGTAAACTGGGGTGTCTGATCATTTTAAAAGTTTTTAAACAAGTTTGGGACCAGAAGTTCTTGTCGTAGCTGACTGATAGATCCACCTCCAATTTTTCAATAGGGATTGCTATTCTATCGTCTATTTTGGACAGTGTCTTATACACTTTAAACAGTTGTTTGTGGGGCTTGAGATTATAGAAGTCTAATACCCTTGGTGGTGTTTTTAATTCTACTTTATTGAGCTTAAATTTTTGTTTAACTACAGATTTAATTTGGTGATATTCTAAAAAGCTATTCTTATCCATTCCAAATTGGGAGACTATTCTGTTAAATGGGATGAAGTCCAATCCTTTATATATGTGTTCCAGTTATAGGATTCCTTTACTTTTGCAGTCCAGAAGGTTCATCATTTTGCAAAATATCAGGATTATTCCAGATAGGTGTGCGCCTGCATGGTATTAGTGGAGACTCTGTCAATTTTAGATACTCCCACCATGCTGCCAGAGAGGTGCTGAAATTAATATTTTTGAAACTTTCATGTTTTCTTATGCTTGAGCTAATAAGTGGCAAGTCTGAAAGCTCTATCGTATTGCAAAGTGTCTGTTCTATATCTAACCAGGACTCATCTAGTGGGTTATTTTGCAACCATCTTGGTATATTACAGCCTGTTGGCTAAGAAATAATGATAAAAGTTGGGTAGCTCCAGTCCTCTATCTTTGGTCTTCTGAAGTGTTTTTAAGCTAATTCGTGGAGGTTTATCCAGTCAAAGGAATTTAGTGTCCAGAGATCTAAACCAGTCAGCTGGTGGCTTGTTTGGGATCATTGAGAATAAGTAATTTATTCTGGGTTAGACCATCATTTTAATTGTAGCAACCCTCCCCATTAGTGATATCGGTAAGGATTTCCATCTTGCAAGATCATCTTCCACTTTCTTTAAAAGTGGGATGTAGTTTAGTTTGGTTAGATCTGACAACTTGGGAGATACATTAATTCCCAGGAATGTGCTATTCCCTGACTCCAATTGTGTATTAAGCAAATTGACAAAAGAGAAATTATTTGGTAGAACTGTGGCTTTTAACCAGTTTATTGAGTAAACTGAAACTCTTGAGAAAGAGTTTATCAGTTCTATTGAATGGGAGAGAGAGGATTGAGAAATCTGGAGAAAGAGTAAAACATCATCTGCATTAAGAATGATCTTATGTTCTATTTTCTTACACTTTATGCCTTTAGTACCTGTTGTTTGCCTAATTGCTGCTACTAGTTTCAATGTTTCTACTGTAAGAGAAATCTATCAAATTAAGTAATCTACGCGAGTTTGTGGATGACTGTCTACCCTTAATGAAACCAGTTTGGTCAGGGTGTATTATAAAGGGGGTTACCTTCTCTAATCTTTTTGCCAGGGCTTTACAAATTATTTTGAGATCAACATTAAAAAGAGAAATTGGGCGATAGCTGGTAGGAAATACAGGGTCTTTGCCTGGTTTTAATAAAAACTAATATTGGCTGAATTCATGTTTGGCTGTAATCTGCCGCTCTCTTCGATCTCCCTCACCATTCTGAAAAATGTTGAAGCCAGAATGATCCAGAATTCTTTGTAGAACTCTGCTGGGAACCCGTCTGGACCTGGAGCTTTCCTATTAGGCATGAATTTAAGGGCTTCCTGGAGCTCCGCTGATGTTAGTGGCGAATCCAGAAAGGTAGCTTGGCTGTCTGATAATTTAGGAAGTGTTTTCCTGTCTAGGAACTCATTGATCTCGTTATCAGATGGGTTTATCTGTGGTGAGTACAAAGTTTGGTAAAAGTCTCTGAAAGTGTTGCTTATTCTTTCAGGATCATAAACTATATTCCTGGTTGAGTCTTTAACAGCAGATATGGTAGTTTTCTCTATTAACTGGTTAGCTAAAAATTTACCTGATTTATTACTATGTTCAAAGTTTTCTATTCGTAGTCTTTGTGCTAAAAATTGTGTCTTTCTGTCGATAATTCCATGAAGTTCTAATTTAGCTTTACGTAATTTGCTCAGTAACTCTTCTTCTGTGGATGACTTTAAAGACTTGATTTCTTCTAACTCCTGAATACGTTTGTTTTGTTATTTTCTTATGTGATGAGAAAGAGATTATTTTACCTCTCATCACTACTTTCCCTGCCTCCCAGAGAACAGTTGCTGATGTTCCAGGCAGGTCATTATGTTCTAAATATAAAGCCCACTCCATTTTAAAAATGTCATTAAAACTTTTGTCTTTAAGCAGTGATGTATTAAACCTCCAGTTTTTGCTTAGTGGGATTGTCTTCTTGTTTACCAGAGTTAAAGAAACCGGTGCATGGTCGCTGACAACTATGGGGTGTATCTCAGTGTCTGAAATGCCAGCCAACAATGAGCTGCTGACTAGAAAATAATCCAAACGTGAATGAGAGTGATGGACGTGTGAGAAAAACGTATGCCCTCTACGGTTAGGATGAAGAGATCGCCATGCATCACAAAGCCCATAATCAATCATGTACTGTTTAACTATGTTAGTGGATTGCCAATTGCGCTGAGTCCCAGCTGTACTGAGCCTGTCTGTTAAAGTATCCATCCAAAAATTAAAATCACCTCCAAGTATAAGTGGACAGTCCAAGTTTTTGGAGAGTACAGAGAAAAAATTACGAAAGAATGAAGGGTCATCAATATTTGGACAGAATATGCTGACGATACATAAGCTTTGGTTCTTTATAGATATTTTTAGTATTATAAATCTACCCTCTGAATCTGAAACTGTGTCCAATACTGTGAAATTGGTGTTTTTGTGTAATAAAAAAGCTACACCTCTTTGCCTAGAGTTATAGCAGACAGAGAACATGCTGGGAAACCCAGATGTTTTAAGTTCATCTGCAGATGTGGCAGATGTATGGGTCTCTTGTAATAATATTACGTCTGCTTGCACTCTTTTTAACTGATCAAAAATTTTTTATCTCTTCTCTGGAGCCAGCTCCATGTATATTCCATGAGACAAATCTTAGTGCACCCATAAATGTGTGTGTGTGAGTAGCTAGACTATGACGCCTTCATGTGTATGAGATAAAATAAGTAACTAAACGCATACATTAATCTGATAGTAAATAATAGAATGTAAATAATAAGGGTATCGTTATATATATTATCATTTGCAATATTAAATCTTACCCAACGTTTAAATTTCTACCGTTAATGTCATTTGAGCACAAAAAATGCACTTACAAAGCTTCCCATAGAATATTATATAATATTTCATAAGTCCCAATTTTTTTACATGAATTTCATCCTTGGCTTCAGCCCTAACAAAATATAATAAAATATGTGTGTTTCTCAGATGTAACCCCTTTATTGCCAGGTTTATTATCAAAACCAGAAGTTTGAAAACTGTACAAAAAATGAAAAAATCAAATCATTTTTGTGTGTTATGTCCAGATGACCTTTTTTGTGGGTAAGTTGTCACAAATAGGCATAAAAATATTTTTTGCTCACTTTGTAGTTTTTTTGTGATGTCAAATTTTCTAAAATACGCACATTAA